TATTCTAGCTGAAATGCTAAATTTCAATGACCCACAGACTAGATTCAGTGCACGATCATCTTTTGAACTCCATATGGTTAAAACATAAAGCCAAAAAAAGTGATTGACAAACAATGCTTTGGCAATTATAGGTCAGATGTAATGGGGAAAATAATTAAGCACGGGAAAACAATTTGGTCTGCATCAATTTGGATGCACTTAAATGAATTAATAATTCATTATGATGATTTTGAAATTTTAGAGAACAATATAATGTCTTTGATTGGTCAAAAATTAATAAGCAAACATATTAAAATGAAACATAATATGAGTCAAATTAACCGCTTAAAAAACTTACGGTCACAAGGTAGAATATTTATGGTTGATTGTGATGATGTCACATCAATGAAATTTCTAACTAACTACTCATTAAGAGATAACCTGGTGAAATTTATCATAAAGGGGAGATTACAATTATTAGAGTGTAACGTGTTGCTTCATTTGTATTACCTTGAGTCTTATCCCAAAAATTGTAATATGTGTAATAACCCTGTTGACACTGTGTCACATATCTTAAATGGATGTATTACATTCCATAATCTTCATATTGCGAGACATGATTGTATAGTTGAGTATATTAAGAATGAAACTTCAAAATGTATTCCTCATCTGGATGTGAGGTGTAACCAACAAGTTAAGGCAGATTATGTTTCAGTCCAGTTTTATGGGTTTGATGATATAACAGCTAGAAAACCTAATCTTGTCATATGTGATAGAACACATAGAAAGGTTTATCTTGTGGAAGTCTCTTGTCCCTACGATGCTTTTATTAACACTTGTTATAACAAAATTTAATAAATATCAAGATTTAAATGAGATTATAAAACATAGGAACAGGTTATGAATGTAAAACAATTGTAATAATTATTGGATCCTAGGTACAATGGCCGGATATCTCTCTTGACCAATTACAGGTCCGGCCATCTAGGGGTATAGAGTATTCATGATCTTAATTTAAATTTTAAACTTGCTCCTAAAAAATTTGTTTTATCTAGAAGATAGTTTTCAAGGCTCTGGCTGGATTTTAATTTTTGAATAACCTTCTAGAGATGTCTTTTGTTGTATTTTGTTTATCCAATCTTCTTTGTAAAAATCTGCAATATAGGTGTCAATAGGTCTAAAAGTTATTAAAAGTAAAATTATTAAAATCAAAAATTTGTTCGAACAGGGTCAAATCATGACTTATCTAATGTATTACATAAATTTAAAAAAGGATATTTCAACATATCAAAATCACAGTCGAGTTGACACATGCAGAGGAGTAAAATATTAGGCCACCGGTTTACATTCATTTTTACGATTCGGTTAAGAAATTTAATTTTATTCACTTCATGTGTTTGAGATAATTGGGTCCAACCCAAATCACCGTAAAGTGCTTCCTGAAGTGTACACCGAGGAGCTTTAAGTAGGAATCTGGCCATTTGCAGTTGTAATTTCTTTAAAGTCATAAGTATCTTTTTTTGGAGTTATTATGCCAAATTCCACATGCATAATTTATTGACATAAGAGCTATTGTCTTCCATAATATATTATAAAATAAACAGAATGAAATGATTGGAAATAATAAAAGAATGAATACATTAATAACAAGATAATCTGAGCTTACAAACACTCGCCCTATTGCGTCATATCTTTGCATATAGTCGATTCGCTCAATCTGCTGGTGTGTATTATTGCCAGTTATACATATCAGGTGAAATGACGCCGAGAGCAGTAAAGGTGCACATCTTATATGTAAAGTTAATTGAATGTATGGGGTCCAAATCTCCCCCTTTTTTGTTTTTATATTATTCTATTATTTGTTATTTTTATTATTTGTTCATCTATAGAATACTGTTTTTCATATTTTATTATTTTTCACAATTATTATTTTCTATTAGGACAGATGAGAAGTAATGCAAGTATTAAAAAAAATCAATGAGGACGTAGGACTATAAAACCTCAAATTGAAATCCAATGGACTTAACCTCAAGAAGACGCCCAATTTCGAATTCAAGCCCACCTCTTCAGTTTGCAAAATTACAATCAAAAAGAATCCCATCTTATAAAAGAAGATTATGGGCTTCTTTTGAAGATAGCATAAGCTTCTTTCCGAATAGTACAGTATACATACTGTACATGAATTTATAAAAGATAAATAAATTATGTGCTTGATTTTAATACAGTAGTATAGTTGTTACAGTGACCCTATTTATTGTTTATAGTACATATTCCAAAACAGCATTCATTTTGAAAAGAAGCCCACTCTTTACTTTGCAGAATTGGACTCGAAAAGAAGCCCATCCAAAGTTTGCAAAAAAATGAAGAAAAAAAAAAGAAACCCAGGGCTTAAATTCGAGATTTTACAGTAGCACTCTTATGGTATCTGCTATAAATACTGGATATCAAGTACAGTATATTAATATTATAGCGCTTATTATACAGCCCTGCTAAAAAAAGGTTTGATTGAAAATCACCTTCACAATAAAAAAAAACAGGGACTTAGCAAGAGCATCAGTAAGGCGTGATCTACAAATTATTCCCAACGACAGAAACGGGTCAAACACGTTTACTATTGTTATATGACAAGCTCCCAAACGCGTCTGTGAAATGCCGTTTGGAAGCTTGTCGTTCGAGCCGTTTATTCCGTTTGGAAGTTAACTCCTCCCCTTTTCATATGGCTGACTGCTCGTGAATGGCAAAATGTTAAACGCGTTCAGCGAAATTTGGAATTTGATCGTGATTTGAACAACTTCAAAACTTGTTCAGTGTCCCTACCGTATATCTAGGCTATGTAGGCCTAGGCCTATATTTATAATAGTAGTAGCCTGGTAGTAAAATGCTAGCCTACGCTAGATGACAGTTCACGAAGAAATGTTTATAATAAGGCCTAAATTTAATTATTTTTCTTGTTGGGGAAACCCCAATGTTTCTTGTATTTTAGTAGGCTAGGCCCTACCGTTACCCTGTCTCTTATACACATCTAGATGTGTATAAGAGACAGTAATTTTAGTAGGCTAGGCCCTACCGTTACCTGTAGGTTTTATAGAAGAGAAAGCAATCGCCAGTAACCTTGCTACCCAGATTATATTGTGCGATGTTCGAATTGACCTATCGTGATATCGCACGTAGAACAACTTATGCTACGGCATTATGTTTTACTTTGTAGGCTAAATGAATTTAATACATGTTTGTATTATTATATATATTATTATGTTTTAAAAATGGTTAAACCATGGCACATGTTTATATTGCTGAACAAGGCAGTCGGATATTCCCTTCTTGCGGAGGAGCAGCGCGTTTACATTCCTGAAGGCGGCGTTCAAAGAATCAGATCAGACACTAGAGCGTCTACATTCCTGAGTTGGCGGAATGCTACGGCATTGTGTTTTACTGTGTAGGCTATATGAATTTATATATATTGTTATATATATATTTTTATTATATATATATATATTTATTATATTGTGCGATGTTCGAATTGACCTATCAAAACAAGTACCTTTTGCCCAACTTTCTAATTCCCATGTGCCTGCACAGCCCGCACAATACAGCATATAAACACTGACCTGGATCAGCCGCAGTTGAAGAAGTTCGTTGTGGCGATCACGTGATATCGCACATAGAACAACGTATGCTACGGCATTGTGTTTTAC